TCCATCAAAGTGGTAACAATGAAAATGTAAGGAACGATATAAAATTTGATAATTTAGAACATTCAGTTGATAACTTTGTAGAATCTAGAAATTATTTGTAGCCACTGAGCAATCTTCATAATTTAAGAATGATAATTTAAAATTCATATGTTTGTTCAGAATAATTATTACCCGTCTAATGCGCTCATTATAAGCCACATATACATTACTTTAATCCCACGTGATTCGAAGTGTCCATTAATGCGGACAATGCGGAAAAGAACAATGAGAAATGCATGTGTGATTGTAGTGACGCATGTCTGAAATGTCTTCTGTTGTTAAAACTATTAGAAATTATAGCATGCGGTAATGATCAAAAAGGTTTAAAAGTTAGCATAAGACGAGAAGTACGCTGATTTCTTCTTTTATGATTTCTTCCAATAGCATTCATAGGAAATCATATTGAAAATTATGCAATCACAAGTGTTCGACTTATTTTTACCTCTTTGAAAAATAAGATATCGTGGTCTAAGCTTTCTTGTGTTGTAATAATTTCCTGGCGCTTTTTTTCCTGCAATTATATTTGTGAGAATTCAGTAATAATGCTAGCGTTGATAAATCTTCCGCTGATAAAACTTCATATTCGATAGGCACTAATTATGCGAGTGTGCAAGCGTTGCAATAGAATTGTAAAATCATGAAAGCCTAAATTTTCAAAATTTCGGAATAACTTTTAACGATATTGAGCAAGAGGATCGAACTGCTGTCTGATTTTTCGAATGTAAATGTGGCGCAGCTTATGTAATAAAACTGAAAAGTACCTTTAAATAGGCGACGATGCGGTAAAAAGCAATTGCATTAACGATAACGGTGATAAGGATGATGCCATCGGATAGGAACATAGCAATATAAGCAAGAAAAGAGTATTGACATGGTCCGTACAGAGTTGACCATGAATAAACAGCTGCTTCGAAGTACCATGCGCATTCAACTTTTAATTAAAATTTCTTCAGTTTGATAATTTGGGTATTAATGGGGTCTCTAATAGCTAATAGTTCTAATAGAACACAACTATCACAGCACCCAATATTATATAAATAAAATTGCTGCAAATGATTACCATTATAATAAAGCGTTGTGGTTAGCATGCTAAATGACCACAGAGATACAACTGTTATTCGAGCATTTCTTGGATTAAAGATGCGGTGATATGTTAACGGATATAAAATAGCCAAAAGACGATTTATGGCTAAAATTAATT